ATTTTTAACGATTTTAAAGTTTCAGGGGATTTTTAAGGATAATTTTAATTGATCGGCCTGTTTAAATATTTCTTTTTAATTCGGCTTTTAATTATTGTATTTGTATTGTAGTTTTTATGAGGCTGTTAGCCGCCCTGAGTCCCATGAGGAGAAGGGCGGGGTATAAATTAAATTATAAATAAATAAATTATAAATAAATTTAGAAGTTTATAGGGAGCCAGTATAGATGTAGTGTGCTATATCCATAACTAATTGCACTGATCCTCTTCCATAACTGCGTTTGAATCCATTTTGACAATAGCATGCATTCTTAAAGATGTCTGCTATTAGCAAAATGGATTCAGAAGCAATTATGGAAGAGGAATTGATTTTACTATATAAAACAAGAGACTGGGAATGATTTGAATGTGCTAATTTCTTATTAATGGATGTTCTCATCCAATGGTTTCTATAGATGTTAAATATAAGGAGTAGAGCTTGATGAGCACCACAAAGCAGGCTCTTATGCTGATCCCTCTTCCCCCACCAACACTGACTGGAACTTGTCCCAGTAAATAAGGAGAATCTATTCAACAATGTGCCTCTCACTTCTAACCCTCAGAGCTGATTCAGAAGTATACCAGGATCAATGGTACTGACAACTTCTAAGAGATTGCATGATGCACCACCCATCCCAGCCCTGCCCAAGTGCAATCATTACCATCTCAGTATTGTAAGCCAGTCTGAAACCCAACTGAGGAGTCCAGATAATCTGTATTCTCTGAGACATTCTGGGGCTGCAAACCTTCTCAGCACTTTCCCTCAAATGGGAGATTTTTAGATCAGATGAAAATTGTATAGTATTGTTGGATCCAGGGACAACTTCTTGGGGAGGGATGGATCACTGCCTCTTTAATTGCTAGTAAAACCATCCCATCCCTCAAGGATGATTTAATATCAGCAGGATCTAATAACAAATCTCCTTGGAAGCCTTAACTAAGAATGATGTAGATCTAAATCGCCATGGGTTGCATCCATGGCCGGAAATATACTGTCCATTTCTTCAGTACCATCTGATTTTAAACTCTTCCCAGGTAACTACTTTAGACCATGCTTCAATCAGCTGCAAATATTTTGTATAGCCAGAGTTCAACTTGGAGTGAATCTAAGTGATTTTTATCTGATAAATGTGTACAATAATCTTCATAGTAGTCTTGCAAATGTTTCTCCAACTCCCCTTCTCCAGGAAGGATCGACTCATTTAAAAAATATCACTGGATAGTACCTGTGGGTACAATAAAAACTAAAAAAATACTTGTTTTATCATAAGGTAATTATTAAGAAATAAAGACTTTTACCTGTGCTTGTTCAGATTTGTTCTTTGTCATCCTCCAGCAGTGTTCCAAACATCTCACCTGCTACTTTATCTCCCCGTCTTCCTCTAAGAGAGCTTGCCAGGTTCCACTGTCTGCCAGGACATGATCCAGTTCAAGCTTATCACTGCCCCTCATTTCAAATGGTGACCAGAACCTTGGTCGACCCACACATCAGGGCCCCAAGAACTTTCCCAAGTTACCCCCGTCCGATCCATCAGGGAGCTGAGGTGGACTGATTAAATAGTGGTAGGAATGACTACATCCCTGTGGTAGGAATGACTACAGAGAACTCCAAGTTATCAGATAGTGATTTGACCACAAGGACTGATGGTGACATCCCCCAAATCCAGATCTCTTTACTGTTATCCCAAGGCAAAAACCAGTTCTGGAGTGTGACCAGTTCTTTGACTCAGGCAACTTGGGATATGTATATGGATACTACAGTGGCCATGAACGTCTGAGTCATCTTTGTCCCCAGAGATTAAAATCCCACCACACCATTAACTACAACACTTAACTATATATGTTTAAAACATTTTGTTTTCTTCAGTCAAAAGGTTCTTGGTGCACTTCAGAAATAAGATTAGCAGCTTATTCCTGCCCAGTCTTATAATCTCATAAAATATAATAATATAAAAAAATAAGGCATAAACAGCTAGTGGAAATATGTCAGTTCTTACAGTTTCATTTCATATCTCAAGTAGTTGAGATGACAACAGATCAGGACATGCAGTGGAGTAACTAATAGTTATAATTGAGCATAAAGCATGAGCAACTGAATTGTGAAAGAGCAGGTGGAAATCCAACTGGTCTTTTCTCCCTGTCACTTCACATGTGACTTGCTTGTTATCTAATTTTCTTAATATACTTAATGTACAAATACTTCATCTTACACAAACCTTTTATTACAGGCAGAATTGCGGGCAGCTGTATTTTTAGCACTTGAAGAGCAAGAAAAAGTAGAGGTAAGGAGCCAAAGTAATAAATGTTTAAATTAGTTATCTCTCTTTGTTGACATTCTTGAGTAAAGGAACCATAGCTATTTGAGTATGCTAAACTCTAGCTATTTCTGATCCTCGGGTAATGTTATGTGCTAACTTTTAAAGGGAGGGGGAAGACTGTGAGCTTTCTTTTTGCTCGACAATTTATAACATCTAAAAAAGCTAAATGCTCCAGGTGAACGCAGTATGGTTTCCCAAGATATCAGCAATATGAGCCCACCTTGCATTTGCTGTAGGACCATCATTGAAGAAATAAAACTTGTGCTGGTTTTATCTCCAAGACTGGGCTGTGATAGTACCTTTCTATAGCAACTCCATGTTGGAATGCCTTTTTACTCCCCTTTCTTCTTTAGCTGGCAATCCCACCATATACAGCTAGTCCAACTTGCAACCTTAATGGAACCAGCCCATTATGGTCATAGGTTGAGATGATTAAAAAGTGGATCGTTACGTGACCAACCTGATTTTATGACTTTGCAGCAGTCATTGGCAAATCATCATGGTTATTAAGTGAATCCACAGTCATTAAGTGAATGCCATGATCATTAAGTGAACCTATTGTTCACTATGGGGTGTTTTTGCCAAAAATGACTAAGTAAATGCCAGGTTTTGGCAAAAAACCTCCAAATCACAGTCATGTGACCAAAGGACACTACACATGGCTATAAATGTGGGCCAGTTGTTGAGGGTCTGAACTGTGTTTACGTGACCACAGAAGGGAAGCCATAGGAACGTCATAATCAGGTGAGACGTACCTTTTGGAAAAGGGATCTGTTATAACTTTGAATGGTTGGTAAGCAACCAGTTGTAAGTCAAGGACTATCCGTATAGTATTGACTATTTTTATTTATATAAAAGTTATATAAAGAGCCATGGTGCAGTGGTTAGAATGCATTACTGCAGGCTACCTCTGCCATCTGCCAGCAGTTCGGCAGTTTGAGTCTCACCAGCTCAAGGTTGACTCAGCCTTCCATCCTTCCAAGATAGGTAAAATGAGGACCCAGATTGTTAGGGGCAATAACTGACTCTGGAAACTGCTTAGAGAGGGCTGTATAGCACTGTGAAGCAGTATAGAAGTCTAAGTGTTATTGCTAATTTTTTTTAATCTAATTCTAATGCTTGTTGAACACTCAGATCAGCTTGGTATTTCTGTTAAAACAGTGTTTCTCAACCTTGACAATTTTAAGGCATGTGGACTTCAACTCCCAGAATTCCACAGCCAGCAATGCTGGCTGTGGAATTCTGGGAGTTGAAGTCCACATGCCTTAAAATTGTCAAGGTTGAGAAACACTGTTAAAACATTGACTGCTCTCTGATTCTGATGATTCTGATAAAGATGTTCACTTAAGAAATATCAATACCTGCTATGTGCCTCTTCAGTATAAATCCCACGATTATTCATTATTAAATTCATATGCTGCCCATCTTATTGATAAAGCAATTCTGAGTGCTTTATTGCTTTTATTATATTGCTTTGAGGTACTGATTATTTTGCAGTGCAGGAAAATTTCTTAACTGTTTTCTTTTCCCATTTTTTGAGCAGAATAAAACTCCTCTGGTAAATGAAAGTTTGAAAAAGTTTTTAAGCACAAAAGATGGTAAGCCCCTTTTCTGTTCATTAAAGCTAACAATATGTATTTGACAAATAATGATCCAGTGATGAAAAGAAGACTGTAGAGAGCAAGGAAACAACCTTGACAAAACAGTGCAGCAACCAGTTTCTAGGCAAAAAGAGCTGAAACATTTTTTAAGTCTTGAAAAATTAGATAACAATTGAAAACAGTTTAGGTTCCTCCTCTCTAATTCACTGGAATATGAGAAGGGGAATTCTTTTATAGCCAATCTGAGATAAAGAGGTTTTAGCCTTTCTGCAGAATAGACTTCTGGTGTGGTCTATATAGTGGAACTGACATGGATCGAATGAGAGTTTATGAGTGAATAACTGTTGTACTGAGCTAGCAGAATTATTTCATTTTTTTCTTGGATGAAAAGAACAGAACAGAAATCTAACCTTCTATGGCTCCTTGAAAAAGGTATTATTCACATTCTTTCCACATGACAAATAAAAATAATTATATGTTCATAGGTATTCAGTAGAATCTGTGAGGGTCATTGTAATAATGCGCATAGTTATTACTTAAGATGATTTTCTTCATAAACAACTAATAGTTTAAATTAAATTAAATTGAATTTAAACATGAAATGCCAAGCTTCAGTAATAAAAATCAGTTTAAAAAAAAAACAAGTCTGCTGGTAATCTTTGTAGGCTTCACCATTGAAAAACAATTTGGGAAGAAAAGAGCTTAGTGAAGATATGAAAAAACAATATACCTGTACGTTTTTAAAATAATATGTGTAATTTTTCTATTTTTATATGTATAACATTTAGATACTCCAGATTCTTTACATGTTGGTCATATGAAGATGTAAGGATTTTAGTAACATAAAGTATTGTATTGAGATTTCTGGGTAAGAAGGAGAAATCAGGCTTCTCTAAATCATCCCAGGGAATAGATAACATAGTAAAGTGATGGCGAACCTGTTAGAGACTGAGTGCCCAAATTGCAACCCAAAACCCACTTATGCATCGTCGAGTGCCGGGTGGGCGTGGCCCATTGGGTGGGCGTGGCTGCGGTGGTAATGGCAGACTGGATGGGACTAAAAAGTTCAATCAATCAGTTCCAACTTTGCAAGACCTTTTTTTTTCCCCACGAGAATTTGAAATTGATTGATTGAACCTTTTTTTTTTTTGCACACTGCTGTGGAGGCCTAAAGCGAAAAGGTTTTATAAAACCCAGCTGAAGGCCTAGGACTGGGGTGATGGCGCACGTGCCCACAGAGAGGGCTCTGAGTGCCGTCTCTGGCACCCATGTCATAGGTTCGCCACCACTGACATAGTACATGGTAAAGTGGCATTCAAACCCAGAAGTCCCGCTTCACAACTTAAGCTACAGTCTTTTCCCACTTACCAAGTAATAGCTATGGAATTCATTTGGAATTGTGATGTCATTCTCTTAAGTGTTAAGGTACATCAGTTTAAGAATATACAGGCCAATAAGGAAATATAGACTTGCAGAGTTATTTATTTACAACATTTATATGTTCTAAACTTTGCTTAACTCAAAGCAATAAATGACTTTGTGTAGCATACAAACATCTCTCACCAAAATAAAAGAAGTAAAATGGAACACGAGCCTAAAACAAAACAGTTAACTGGTGATCAGAAACTAACGTTTGTTATATCCCACGAAATGGAAACTTGGCTCATCTTGAGCCAGGTGCCAGGGGAAAGAGCAGGGCCTTAAGCTCTTTTTTAAAGTCCTGCATATATTTGGCGGGAGGTTGTTCTAGAAGCCAAAAGCCATCTCCAAGAAGGCACACTTCCTGGGTCTCACTGGGTAACATTGTTTCAAAGATGGGACCCAAAGCATCACCTCTCATTGGAGTATGTAAGATGGACAGAAAATGTTAAGAAAAGGCAGTCCTGCAAATAACCTGGCAGGGTGCCGTGCAGGACTTTGTAGATATTTAAATTAATTTTTTATTACTTAATGCATCTTGGAGGTACTTAGATCTAGATAAGACTAGGCAACATAGTGCCCGAGGGATCCACTATTGGTGCTTATCATATTTCTCATCCTGACTTTTTAAAATACTATTTAATTAAAAATTAATTAGGAAGATGTCATGTCAGCAAATGTCAGCAAAACTCTAGGCCAGGGGTAGGCAAACTCGGCTCTTTTATGACTCGTGGACTTCAACTCCCAGAATTCCTGAGTCAGCATAGCTGACTCAGGAATTCTGGGAGTTGAAGTTCATGAGTCATAAAAGAGCCGAGGTTGCCTACCCCTGCTCTAGGCTCTTGCATCGTATTTATTTATAAGAATGCCTAGAGCAGTGGTTCTCAACCTGTGGGTCGGGACCCCATTTGGGGTCGATCGACCATTTCACGGTCGCCAAGCAAGGCTGTCCGCCATTTTTTTCCCCTTTTCCGGCGGGTGCCTTACCTCCCTTGGGCTGGGCCAGCTGGTGGTCGGCCTGCTCCGTCTCTGCCGCTTGCCAGCTACGCCTCGGCCGGCACAGGGGGCGGAACCACGCATGNGCGGCGCTCCCGGGCAGGGAAAGTCCTCGACTTACGACCGGTTGGGTAGTCCTCGACTTACGACCGGTTTAGTCCTCGACTTACGATTGGTTTAGTCCTCGACTTACGACCAGTTTAGTCCTCGACTTACGACCGGTTGGGGTCATGGCATTAAAAAGGTTGAGAACCACTGGCCTAGAGCCTAGAGTCCCCACCCCGCTGGAATGATTTTGTGGAGTTTAACAATAAATGGCGACTTTGTGAATGTCCATGTCCACCATCATGTCAAGTATTTTGCAAACAGGCAAGTGTCCCAAGCCATTTGATGAACATACCCACATTCTATTCTCAAAATTCCAATTCACTTCTGTCCATGTTATCGAACGTTACTGAACTTTGAAATGCTTTTCTTCTATATTAAAAATCCAAAGTAACCTTTGAATGTTAAAATCTTTCATTTTTTAACCCAAACTGTATTTGTTGGGTTAAATTATGTGTCTTAATGATTAACAATTGTAATTAAAAGACATTTAATGTGCTTTCTTTAAAAGGCCGATTGGTGGCTAGTCTTGTTGCTGAATTTCTTCAATTCTTCAATCTTGATTTTACTTTAGCTGTGTTTCAACCTGAATCAAGCACAGTAAGCATTTTTAATATTTTTATTTCAACATTATACTCTGATATTATTCTGGTTTAATAGAACCTGAATTCATTTTTAAGCTTAATTAGTATGCTTTGTATTGCTGTTTTGGTGTATCCTTGAAAGGGAATATGGTCATGCTCACTATAGATTAAATGCAGGAAAGTTGAATCTAATGTTTCAGTATCTTATTTATGCTGTGATGCTATAATTAAATTACAAGTTTCTGAGTTTTTGTTTATTTCACTTAGACGAAGATAACAACTAAAGAATATTCAGTTAGAGCAGCCTATAATACAACATTTTCTTCACCACGGACCCTTTTAAATACCTTTTGTGGCCACCTTCAATAGCCATAGATTCCCAAGACTTTAATGCAAGATTTAAATCATAACATTTCTCCAAGCCTTCACAGACCCCTTGTAATGACATCATAGCCCCCAGTGGTCCATGGACCACAGGTTGAGAACCACTGCTTTAATACATTGTGGCAAAAAAGCTATATTTTGCTTCTTGAAAATGTACAAAAATGGCCAATGACAGTCTTTAAGTTACTGCCTATTCCATTTTTAAAATGCATTTATTTGATATACATAGATGTCACTTCCCATAAAATAAAATTACAGTAAAAGTATGAAAATAGTAAAGACATAAACAATACTATACCTCTGTGAATTTTTAGCATCATTACATTACATAAATTGCGGGCAGGGGAAAAAACTAAATCCAGAACAGAGGTATTCATTCGACATCATACAGGAAAGGCCTAGTAAAGACAAAGGTCTTCAGTAAGTGCCTAAAATATTTAATAAACATCTTGTGTACATTGAAAATAATCCTAACTGCAGGTGGTGATATTACTAGAAAAAGTTATCCTGCAAATAACCAGAAATTGGAACACATTAGAACTGATATAGGATATGGCTCGGCTCTCTAACAGCAAAGATAGTCTGTCAGATATCCTTGTTCCAAGTTGTAGAGAGACGTATACATCATAATTCCGGATCTCCCCTCCTTCCGCCGTGCCCTCAAGACATGGCTTTTCCACCAAGCGGGATTGGCCTAGGGGGGGATTTTATAGGGATTTTAAAGGGATTTTATAATTTTTCTAATACAGGTTAATTAATATATATTTTAATTTGGCTTTTAAATATTTATTGTATAGCTCTGTTTTTATTTACCTGTAAGCCGCCCTGAGTCCCTCGGGAGAAGGGCGGGGTATAAATTAAAGTAATAATAAAATAATTTTTTAATAATAAGAATTTTAAACTTGGCTTAATAGCAAATTAAAAGTCTCAGCAACAGTATAATATGTGGACAGGCAAGTCGTCCTTTCTGCAAGTCTTAAAGAAGCATATATTTTTCAGGATGGCTCAGAAATCTGAAAAAAGATAGGTCATTTAATGAATAACAGAGATGCTGTGCTCATGCTTGCACAAGGTCTAAAACAGTTCTGAAATATTCAATTATACACAGCCATTCTGTTTGTAGTGCTACAATTCCATTTTAACAATTGCTAGCCCAGGTAGTAACATCTGAAGCCATCTATTGTTGTCAAGATTTATTCTGAATAATTAAAAAACAAGCTTTTAGGTTTAGAAAATAATTTGTATTTTCAGTACCACAAACTTTAGTTACTATAGAAACACCAAATAAATTTCTAACACCTACATCGTATTTACTATGGATACTTTTTATCATTTGTATTATTTGCTAAAAGAGTTATTTAATATGCATGACAATTTCAGATTTGTGATGGATTAATCGGTTTTAACATTGGAATAATAACACAATGGATCTTTTCTGTATGCATTCAAATTTAGTTTTATGCATCTGAAGCAAGGAATTTAAAATAGATTTAGCTTAAGCAACTTTATAAATAAGGATAAAAATAGGTTTTATCCCTTGATATTGACCAAACCACTTGTATATTGGATGCCTTAAGGCTCCATATATAGTGTCATAGTGTAGTGTAGTAAACTATACAACGAGACATAACATAATTCAACATGTTTATTTACTTACTATAATTGGAAGTTACACTACAATAGTAGCCACAACAATGTCAAAGCATAAATTAACATTTTTCCCAGTCCAACCGTGGTTGGCTGTGTTGATATCTATATATTAGTTCATATAATGAATTCGGTTTGTGGTATCTAGTAGAGAGCTCATTTACTTAGCCTAAAATTTAAGTTGGAAAAGAACCTGGGAGGTGAAAGAGCATAATACCTGTCACACATCAAGTTATCAGATTTGTATATCAAGCTGTAGAATTAAAAAACAAGACCAATGAATAATTGGGAAGTTAGGACCTCTGTGGCATGGGTATCTGCATATTGTAAAAAGGAATTTATGGCTATGAATTTTGACATGAAAATTTTATATTTATATGCTATAAAAAAGTTTTTTAGAGAACTACTGAATTACCTTTTGGCTTATAGTTGCAGATACTGTATGTGTATGTATATGTGTGTCTGTGTTTGTGTTTTTGCAGTCAAATGGACTTGAACCTCGAGAAAGTTTAGCTCAAGACTTGGGTATTTTAGAACCTAAAGCCCCAGTAGATGGGCCCTTGCTACTGGAAGTGGTCAGAAGATGTCAGCAGAAAAAAGGCTTTTCTAACAGTGGAGACGTAAGACTGTTAACATCCTAACCATGTTAATGAATTCTTCATTTTGATGTAGGTACTTTGAAGAGCAAATTACTGTTGAAATAGTGATGTTGATTTAAAATGTTTTGTAGTGTTTCCTTTGGAGAGAGTATGTCAGTGCTGTTTTTGTGTGCATGACCGAGTCGATTTTGATTCCTTAGTGATTAAGCAAACCAGTTCCTTAAGTTTTCTTGGCCACATATGCAGAAGTGGGTTTGCCGTTGTCTTCTTCCTAGGGCTGACAGAGAAGGACTGGCCCCAAAATCGCCCGTCTGGCAGGACTAGATTTCCTTAGTCCTATTCAAACATTTTAACCACTCGACTATACTGGCCTTTATTTCTATAGTGCTTAATTGTATTTGAATAAAATCATATTTTATATTTACTGGTTTTCTACATTTTTATTTAGGTAGCTCCAGTAATATCTGAAAATGTACATTCACCTCCAAAATCATCAGATGAAAGATCTAACATACTTTCAGTGCCAAGTAAGGTAAGTTAGACTAGTAAAATAAAGCATATCTTTAAAAGTGATATTTCTAGAATCTAATGCTAGTCTACAAATTCTTTGTAATAGGAAAATATATATTACCATAATAGCAATACCACTCTCTCTCTCTCTCTCTCTCTCACACACACACACACACACACACACCCCAGGCCTTTCAGCCTAGCAAATCTTTGTTTTTATATTATTCGAACTATCCTACTTGTTTTGAGGCCTAATCACTGGCGACTTATGGACATTTTCGTAGTTGCAATAAAGGCTCCACCTTCACTTGAATACTTCCCACCAAGCTTAATCATAAACTATCCCAGGTGATTCTTCTAAAAAGTTAAAATTATTCTGCCTAAAGCTTTGGGTTCCATACATTTCTTTTAGGGATGAAGTTGTAAAACAGCTTTGCCATATATTGCTTCATTGGTTTGAATTTGGAGAATATTTCTAGGTCAGTTTACTATTTTAAAGCAAAACAAACTTATGTATAGTTAGCAAAAAAACATACTGACAAATAGGTTTTTATACAATCAAATATCAGAATTGATGGGAGAAAGCACCTATTATAGGCTTCCTATTAAATGTGAATCAAACCGGTATGGCTTGTTCAATAAACCATGAATAAAAATACCCTGACTTAGAATTATCTCTGATTCTCAAGCTACAGTACCATATTGGTTTGAGGAAAAATTATTCAGAATTTTATTATCTTAACAATCCAACTTCACTCTACAGGTAGTTCTCGACTTACAACAATTCATATAGTGACTATTTGTAGTTAACAGTTGCACTGAAAAAAGTGACTTGTGACTGGTTTTTATATTTAATAACCATTGAAGCATCCCCATGATCAAATGATGCAGATGATCACATGATCAAAATGCAGATGCTTGGCAACTGACTCATATTTATGACAGTTGCAGTGTCCTGGGGTCATGTGGTCACCTTTTGTAACTTCTCATAAGCAAAATTAATGGGGAACCCAGATTCACGTAACAACTGTGTTATTAATTTAACAATTGCAGTGATTCACTTAAGAACTGTGGCAAGAAAGATCGTAAAATGGGGCAAACTTCACTTAACAAATATCTCACTTAGCAACAGAAATTTTGGGCTCAATTGTGGTCGTAAGTTGAGGACTACCTGTATTTCATATTTCATATTATTCACGTAATCAAGAGAGGGCATGAATAAGAATAATCAGCATCACTTAAAGACACTGTTCATCCCATAGGGATGCATAGAATAGTTTTTTCTGGAATGTTTTTTTCCACAAACCCCACCAAATCTGGCCTATTTAAAGTTAGTTCTTTGTTTTCACAGTTTTTCCCCACCAAATTTTGTCCCGTTTTGTTTTATTTTCAGAGACCTATACTGCTAGAGAACAGATAGACAGACAGACAAGTGGATCATATTGCAACCTTGTTTACATAATTTAGTTCCATCATTCCATTGGGTTGGAATTTTTTTTTAATAACCCTTCTTTTGATCATGAAGAGGTTGCTGTCTCAACTGTACAATTCCATTTAAAGTGATTAAAAAGGAAATGGTTACAAGCCCAGTTGTACATTATTTGGAAGATGTTGACTTTGTAGTCTTCATTTTAGCCAGGATATTGGATTAGTTTGTTTTTGTTGCCTGGGTGGGGGATGTATACCAGGATCTATACGAGAGGAAGTCTGTCTATTAGTTTTCTTCAGTACACAAATACTCCTTGCTTATCAGCTGCCTCATTCAGCAACCATTTGAGGTTACAGTGGTGCTGAAAAAAAAAATAACTTTATGACCAATGCTCATATTTGTCATCCTTGCAGCATCTCGTTGTCACGTATACCAGTATTCATTACTTGTTGCCCTGGGCCTGACCTGTTGTAAGCAGACACACAATGGGGAATACACATTGAAAACAATGTGCTGGCAAAAAACAACTGATTCTACATTGTGTGCCTGCTTATTCTCCTGTAATCTTTTCCTCTCCAATAAATGTAAATACAAACATTAATCCCGTTGTTAATTATCCCAGGAGAGGGGAACATTCCAAAGGGCAAGGAGTGGTTAAAAGGCAAACAAAAGTCAACAGTGTCAGACTGATTGGTTTTGTCAGTTTTGAGCCTGCTATCCCAGTACTGCTGGCTTCAAAAGGTAGGGAAGTGCAGAAAAGGAAAACAGTCTCTATCATGTGATTTCCTACTTGGTTACCACTTCGCTTAGTGATCCAATTGTCAGTCGCAATTTTGTTAGCTAAATATGGACTATATGTATTTGGGAGTTTTGATATTATTTTCTGAAATTTGAGAATATTATTTTGCAGTGTAGTTTTCTAGATCAGGTCATATTCATGACGTGCTGTTTTACATATACATTGGCTTTTAGTGTCCTACAAAATTTTATCTTGTCCTCATACTGTATCTGCACAAATTGCAAAGTGAGACCATCTAGAATAAAAGATCTTGACAAGTCATTCTCTTTTTATTTTGAAGAAAAAAGGAAAAGCAATAATGTTGATTCAAATATAGGTTTAAAAGAATATAGAAAATACAGTTTTAAAAAAAGGAAAAAATGATATAAACAATAAAATACAGGTGTATAACTAATAGTTTTACTAATGTTTACCATCTGGCTCCAAGGATGTAATCAATATTGTTGTATTCAGGGATGAATGTGTATAAGGGAAAACAAGTTCAAATGAAATCCAGACAAGAGGTCAATGGTCACAAATTGCTATATGTGGGATTGCAGATCAGGAATGTTTCTCAATTTCCAGCTGTTGAAAATTATATAAATTTGGTTATATCAGACTAATCCAATATGTAGTATGTGGGAGTACCTTGAAGAGTGTCTAAAAGCTTCCATTAGTGCAGAATATGATAGCTGAGCTGCTCACTAGTGCATAATAACAGCAATCATGTTTGTACTAAAGGACCAGGCTTAGTTGCTGTTAAAGCTGTTGATTTTATTCTGTACGTTAAAAATGGTTTAAGGTCTACATGTCAGAGAGACTTAATATGAATCTATAGAGAAACTAAGTTTGGCAAGAAAGATCTCCTTGAGGATAACTGAAATTTCATTGTTTGATGGGTCATAGAAGCGTTTTTCTATATGTAATAATAATAATAAAGTTAACATCTTTACTGAAGAGATAGAGGGTAACAAACAATACCCTGCCTGAATATAGTGTTTTGGGAATGGAGAACCTAGATCTCAGTGACTGTTTAGATAGAACCAATATCATAGGTTAGATTTTGCCACTAATATGTTAAGTATGGTTGAGCTACATACAGGTAGTCCTTGACTTACAACTAGTCACTTAATGACCATTTGACGTTATGATGGATTTGAAAAAAAGCTATTTCCTAACTACCTTTCACCATATATAGTCATGTGATTGCATTTTGGGCACTTGGCAACCAGCTCTCATTTATAACCAGTTGCAGCCTCCTGTAGTCACGTGATTACATTTTGCTCCTTTTTTTTTTTTTATGTTTTCCAAGAAAAACGTCCATTGGGTACTTACTTGATTTGCTTAACAACCATGATGGACTTGCTTTATAATCATCATAAACTCAGTCACAAAACTGAGTTTGGTCATGTGGTGACACAAGTTACGACTGCAGCAACTGCAACTTACAACTGCAAATTCTAGGTTCAGTCGAAGACTACCTGTAATTGCAGATCCAGCAATACTCTGTAGCATGGAACAGCCAAAAAAAACCCCATCCCACCCCAAATACTCCATGATAGCCTGACTGTGTATTCCCTTCCCTCCAACAAATACTCCAAGCACTTAAGATGGAACCAATTTGAGTTTCTTTTTTATATTTTTCTCATTTCCCAGCCCTAACTCATGTTTTTAAGCACTTTTCTGTGATATGGAAAGGGAAGGGAAATTCACAGGAGACATTTTTTTCTTCCTTCAGTCTGCACGAAGAAGATATTTTCTACAAAGAAGCCTTGACCAATCAGAATCTGTTAAAAATGATAGTATCTATTTCCATTTTCCAGTAAGCCAGATGTTGCAGAGAAGAAAGCAAGATGGCACTATATGCTATAAAATTGCATCATGAAATTCAGCTGGATTGTTTTTTTAATCAGCTGCTTGTTTCAGTTTTCAAGAAGACCTATACATTTTAATACAAAATGTTTTAATAATACAGAAGTCTGTTCCATTGATTGGAGAGTTATGTAGCAACATTTCTATTGCCTAGCATGGTTGTAATGTTTTTCTACATATAAAATGCTGTGGTGTTATTGTGACAGCAACATTGCCAGTGCTGGTTGGTAGGAGAGCTTTTGGATTTTAGATTTTATGACTCAGTTTTTCATATTGAACACTTCAAAAATGAAATCTGCTTGAGCTGCTCTAAATAATCAGTGATGATCAGTGGTGTTTGTATTTAAAAAATATAACTATGATGCAAATAAATTAAGCTAACATTGCCTATTCTGCCTTAAACAAATAAATGGTGCTTTTAATATAGATAGCATTTCATAATGAATTATGAATAAGTTTTATTCATATCATCTTGATTAGCCTAGATGTTCTGTCTGAATTTTCAACTCAAGTTGTATACATTATGTTTATTTTAAGGATAATTTTGTAAATTATAATAGAAACTATATAATCAAAGACATTTAATATACTGCAACATGAAGTAGTATGTTTTCTGTGGTAGAAAAATAAACATATTCTCTATTTTAGATTTGAAACCTTTCTCAAACTGCAGTTTATTATAGAGTTGCACATTGAAAATTCTATTCAAAAAGGGGGTGTGGTCAGGTTGGAAAAGTAAACTCAGATAAAAAAAGTGGTGAACCCAGGAAAACATTTTAAACAGATAAAAAAGCCCTAGCAAAACAAAAATGGTATATTTAAACTGTCTCAAACTAGCATTACAGTGTTTTGCCAGAAATGTCAGCAATATTATAAAGGTTTGGGTTAATAAAAAAATAGGGAGATCACAGAGTAACACTTCTACTTTATTTAGAAGATAAATTATCAATATCAGCTTTTTAATATTTAATTAACAGTAAGATCCAGTTTGCATAATGGCTTTATTTTATTTATTTTATTTTATTTATTATTATTTTATCAAACTTATATGGCCACCCATCTCACGTAGAGTGACTGAGTAACATACCATAATGAAATGTAAAAAGAAATGGTCAATGGTCAATTATTTTCTAGCAATACTGGATTTAATTCCATTTTTGCTTTCAGAAGGACAGATAATCATGACACTGTCTAATAGAAATACTGAAGTGCTCTGGACAATAAAATAAATTAGAAAGTTGACTAGATAAGAGACTATCACCAGCCCAAGCGGAATGCATGATTCATTCCACATCTAATAGGCTAGTGATGGCGAACCTTTTAGAGACCGAGTGCCCAAAACCTGGCCCTGCCCCTGCTCCACCCCCTCCCCTGCCCCCGCTCCTCCCCCACCCCGGCTCCCACCCCGCCTGCCCACAGGGTCACTCACCGCCTCCACGGCCCGCCACAGATCGCCCAGGCAGCCCAGCAGTGCCATGGAGGCAACACCCTCTGCCCGCACCCCACAACATCAACTGTGCGCGATGGGGCGTGAAGGCAGAGTCTTGTCTACGCTGCCTGGCTGCCATGTTCTTGGCTGCGGTGCTCCGCATGGGCCACTCTTGGGGGCAACTCTCCTCCAGGGGGGCTGCTGGAGGGGGTCGTGGGGGGAGGCGAGGCTAGGGAATGGCACGTGTGCCCACAGAGAGGGCTCCGAGTGCCGCCTCTGGCACGCGTGCCATAGGTTCGCCACCACTGTAATAGGCTTTGCAACTGAAGAAGTCAGTTTTTCTAAGTGACAGAGAACTGCAAATGGCGGTATTCATTTACCGTTGATGTGCTATTCCACAAAATCAACATTTTTAATACCAGGATTTTAAAGGTTTTAAGTAAAACAACATAATTTTGTTATGCTAGTATTTAGTTTTACATGACATACCCCACATACAATTTATTTTCATTTTTATGCCATTATTTTATTCTTATGTTCAGATACCAAGGTATAAAGGACATCGTAAACAGAAAAGGTGCTTGAACACAACTGAGCAGGTAACATGCATGAGCAGAAGAACCTGGCAAGTGCCTCTGTTTCTAACTTGAATAAAGGAGCAGCTTGCACTAAAAAGTAAATGCAACTGGCTCAATTGCATTTCGGTAAACTAACTCCACCTATATACAGTTGTAACATGTACTTTGAAACACACAATAATCACAATTATGCGAACATTGAATGAACTGTATATAATTAAATTAGGTTGACAAATACTTACGAAGTGCCCATTTGTCTGGCTCCCTAATAACTTAATAAGTTAAGTGTTTCTACATGCTGATGCTTTGTGTCAAGTTTTACGTTTGAATCCTTAACATACATATATTTACATAATTTAATCAGTATTGTTCATAAATACTATCAGTTCCTGATTTTTGTAAGCTAATTCATGCATGACATTGACTATGAATAAATGGAGAGAAACCTGGAATAGCTTGAAGCTTTTCCCTAATCTTGTTTGTAGGTTGGCCTCGTAACGACATAGGAAAGCTCCAGTTTGTGGAGGGCCTTGAATGAAGCACATTAGGTAGAGAGCCTTTTCGGTCAGGATTCCCAATAGACCAGTGGTTCTCAACCTGTGGGTTGGGACCCCAATTGGGGTCGATCGACCATTTCATGGGGGTCGCCAAACAAGGCTGTCCGCCATTTTTTTCCGCCTTTTCCGGCGGGTGCCTTACCTCCTTTGGGCTGGGCCAGCTGGTGGTCGGCCTGCTCCGTCTCTGCCGCTTGCCAGCTACGCCTCGGCCGGTGCAGGGGGCGGAACCACGCATGTGCGGCGCTCCCGGGCAGGGAAAGTCCTTGACTTACGACCAGTTGGGTAGTCCTCGACTTACGACCGGTTTAGTCCTCGACTTACGACCGGTTTAGTCCTCGACTTACGACCGGTTTAGTCCTCGACTTACGACCGGTTGGGGTCGCGGCATTAAAAAGGTTGAGAACCACTGCAATAGACTATAGTAGTGGGACAGCATTGATTGCACTTATCAGTAACCATTGGACAGCTTGGGATAGAGGTGTTGTGTCTGTCTTGAGTCTCTTGGCAGCTTCTGATATCACTGACCATGATAACTTTCTGGACTGTCTCTGCAAATTGGGAGGCACTATTTTGTGGTGGTTCTCCTCTTTTCTCTGTGGCTTGTACCAGTCAGTTGTAGTGTGGGAAATGATATGCACGCCTAGGTTACCAGGGTACCTCAGAGCTCAGAGCTCTGTCCCTTCCTGTTTAACATCAAAGCTGATGGAGAGATCAGTACACTGATTGTACCCAGTTACACATCTTTAATCCATGCTGGAGAAGTAGTGCTATTCAGCTGCTGGCTCTATGCCTAGAGGCCGTAAGGGCCTGGATGAGGAAAGTAAGATGGATTGATTGTGGGGCTCTGACTCCCCAGGGTCAGGAGAGCTGATATCTCTGACTCTGGATGGGATAACACTCACCCAGAAAGATCTGGTGTGCAATTTGGGTTGTTTTTCTTCTGCTGTTTGGGTGTTTTTATAATTGTATTGTATCTTTCTCTGATGTCTCATCCCTTATAAAAAGCTATTGTTGTTAATGATATAAAAAGTGCTCAAATCTGCAAAATGTAGCCTATCTGCAAAATGTAGCCTATAGACATTTTTGCAGGTAGTAGCTATCAGGGATTGTGTATCAGGATTATTTCGTTCTTCATCACCCATGGAAGGTAAGGTTAAGTGTTACTTGATCTTACCAATAACGTGAAAGATAGTATCAAAACTAGGCTTATATTTTGAAAGATAGACCTGTAATACGAACTTTTTCCTACAGTTAGTGGAGTTAGTTAGGCTACTCACTGAAGCTCAGGAAGAGAATGATAGTGATTAACCTGCTCTAATCCTTGCTTCTAACCAAAAGACATTTAATCAAAAATGTTTATAGTACCATCTCCTTAAGGCCATAAAACAAAACATACTGCTTTCTTATTTATCCAATCAATCCTTTGCATCTAGTTGTGAGCCAAGGAAATGGAAACAGTTGGTTAATTGAATCTTCTGCTGTTCCTGCTCTCAGATGTTAAAATTAACATCCATCCAACAACTCCCTTTTTACTCCCTATTTACAACCCTGTAATTGCTTAATTTGGGATAGAGTCGAGGTGGCTGGATGGAGCTGAAACATCCATCCAATAAATGGACCTGGGCATTTTTCACAACAGGTAGTCCTTGACTTACAATCATTTGTTTAATGACTGTTTGAAGTTATAATGGCACTGAAAAAAGTGACATAACTGGTCCTCTCAATTATGACCATTGCAGCATCCCCACAGCCACATTATTAAACTTTAGACACTTGGCCACTGGTATAGATTTATGACAGTTGCAAAACCCTGGGGTCACATGATTATCATTGCTGACTTTCCCAGCTGGCTTCTGACAACAAATCAATGGAGGAAGCCTGAGTCACCTAACAACCATGTGATTCACTTAATGACCACTGTGATTCACAGCAAGAAATTTTAAAATTGGTGCTTCACTTAACCACCACCTTGCCTAGCAATGAAAATCCCAGTCCCAGTTGTGGTCGAAAGTCAAGGCTGCCAGTAATTGAAGAATCTTAGTTATGGTGGATATGTATCATTTTATATGACAGAATTATATTACTAGTATCCCAAAGATGCTTTTTTTCACAAGGCAACTGGACTGTCCAGTTGAAAAAAGATGAAAAAAACATATTTGGGATAACTATGACCTGAATGACTGAGGATCTCCATAGACATATATTACCAGTAATAATTTTTTCAGCAGGAAATTTAAAATATAACAAAAATCTCTTTTTGTTGCTTGCTCCGCCTTCACTCTCTGTCCACCTTTTAGAAAAGCAGCAGGAAGTAAAACCCAGAAATATTGCAAAAGGTGTCAAGAATGAGATGTGATATGAAACTACACAAGTGTCTTTCCCAAAGTTGCTTTTCCAAAAGACAATTGGATTTACTTGGGTTTTTTTCCTTCGAAAACATTTCACTTCTCATCCAAGAAGTGGATGGGAAGTGAAATATTTTCAAAGAAAAAAACCCAAGAAAGTCCAAGTTGTCTTTTGGAAAAGGACCTTTGGGACAATCATGACCTGGATGATTGAGAATCTCCATAGACACAAGTGTCTTTCCTTCTTCCTGATCTATTAAAGATGACTTATTCTCCCTTAGCAGAAGAAATAGACAAGTTGCAAATTCTTGCCCAACTCAGTTTGGTCTAGACCAGGGGTAGGCAACCTTGGCTCTTTTATGACTCGTGGACTTCAACTCCCAGAATTCCTAAGCCAGCATGGCTCAGGAATTCTGGGAGTTGAAGTCCACGAGTCATAAAAGAGCCAAGGTTGCCTACCCCTGGTCTAGACTTTGATGATATTTTATTTTCAGCAAAACTGGTTGATAACTGGTTTAAATTTTTTTTAAAAAAATCACTGACAGTGGATTATTTTTGTGTGAATGTGTCTTCAGCAGAACTAATTAAATAAGGTACTCTGGTTTTATTTTCTGGGCAGTTAGTTGAGATTTCAATGCCCTGTCATTTGTTTACCCCTTCTTTAATGCCAAAAATCATTGATTATTGAACTGGCAAAGTATTCTTTTTAGTAGATGGTTTTGAATTACTTTCTTTGTATAAAATATATAATTTATATTAAGTATACATTTTCATCTGTATTATTGATATAGCATGTTGGTGAGGTTGTTATTCAAAGTTGAATGCATTTAGGGGAGAAAAATAATTCTTCCTGGCTCATGATAGGGTGGAACTATATGTTACATATAATTGCATTTTTATACTCCATACCTATTATATAGAGTAAATACGTTTTAGCATTGAACTTGCAATTTGAAGGAGACATTTCTTATCTTTTTCTATTGTGATTTTTAGTATCATAAAAATGTTGCTGTTTATACCTCTGTGTTGGAAACATTGATATATTTAGCAGATATATGATTATGGATTTTATTTTTAATTTATTTATTATTTATTTATACTTTCCATATTTGTAATCATGCCACTTTCACACAATTCTTGATGATTTATAACGTTAGTATTTCCCTCTTTTTTCCCTACAGCAATTTACATATTTAAGATGTTGAATGTGGCAATTTAACTATGAAGATATGATAACTTGTAGAAATAATTGAACATGGTGTTTAGTGCTGCTGTGCTTGACTATAGTCAAGTACCGTAATAATTTTACATCTTGGTATTCTTGAGCAAAAAAAGGGAAAGTATTAAACTATTTTTTTCTAATTTCTAATACCCTTTGCAAAGAAAAAAATAAGACCATGGGTATTTTTTTTTAAGTTTAAATCTTTTTAAGGTTATTTATTGGTCTTGTTTATGAAGTGATTATGTGGCAATGGGTGGTTTTTTTATTTTTGCCTTATCTAGAAATAGGTTTGTTTTTTTTTGTTCACCATACTCAGACCCTTCAGGATTCAAAGTAGAATTGTACATTTTACAACATGTTTACCACTGAAGTATCACAGTGGAAGAATATTAACAAGGGAGTGGGAAAGAATATTTAATCTCGTCTACTTTTTATTCTTGTATTACTAATTTGGTTTCTTATTTTACATGTCAATTTGCTAAGCATTACATATTGCTGTTTAAGTTCACTGAGGGAGTATTGGGTACCTTAATAATAGCAATAAGTAGAAAACTTTTTAATTTTACAAGACTCTGGAATTGGGATCTCTTCCTACAGCTGCATTATATTGCAGCATATATATGCGAAGAGGCTATTAATATGACAAACTAGTCACAATACTGTAATCATATAAATTATTGATCAATGGTTAGTTCTGTGTTCTTCCATTATCAAAAAACTGTAAACAATTCAAAGGAAACAGATTATGTGGCATTATTTAAGAGAATGTGTAATTTCTTTAAGGTTGTTGAAACCAGTCATAGCGATACAAGCATTTTGTCTGGAGAAGCAAAGAGCAAAGGCAGCATTCACTTCTTACCAAATGAAATAAAAGTAATTTCTGAACCAAACAAAGAAATAGATACCAAAGAAAAAAATAATCTAGCAGCAGAAGAGGATGCAGAGGGTGATTCTTTCTTTGATGATCCATTACCAAAACCAGAACAGTCATATGGTTGGTAAGTTAAATACACTGATCTAACGTATTTATTAGAGTATTTTTATATGAAAGATGCTGTATTTACTTTTACAGTAAATAAAGGATAGGCTTTAGAAGCTTTTCTTTTGCACAAAACAAATGATGAGTATCTTGTTTTACTGCCTATTTTGCACTGCAAAATCTTTTCTTAAATTCTCCAACTTTTAGATTATACTGCTAAAACCTTTCTAATGTTTTCCTGCAAGAATAAAATACTGAACACAATTTTTTTTAAACAAATAGAAAATATACCTTCTATTTGCAGTAGAATCTTTTGACATGGAAATATTTACATTATATATGGAAATACATTTGACCATAGTGAAGCCATAATTTCTTCATACATAGGTCTCCAGGAGCTGACAATGTCACAAGATTAGGGTTCCAGCTTGGAGGATCCTGTAATAAGCTCTATACTTGCAAGGCATCTTCCGAATATGTTATACGGGTTATCCTTGATTTAGGACAATTTCTTTAGTGACTGTACAAAGTTATGGCAGTGTTGAAAAAAGTAACTTATGATCAGTCCTTACACTTAAGACTGTCACAGCATCCCAGAGTCACATGATCATGATCCAGGCACTTGGCAACTGGCTCACACTTACAACACTCACAGCAAACTGCAGTCAAATGATGACCCATTTGCAAACTTCCCAGCTGGCTTCTGACAAGTAAAAAGGGAAACTGGCAGGAAAGATCATAAATCAAGGTCACGTGATTTCTTGCCTAATGACCACACTGCTTAAAAATGAATTTGCCAGTCCAAATTGTGGTTATAAGTCAGGGACTACCTGTATATAATCTTATTTAAATTCTTCTAAAAATTTAGTTTGGCACTAGGAGCAGCTGTCTACATGGTGTAAAATATATGTTCAGAATAATAAACTATGAAAAGTGCTTCAGCCTTTTCATACACTAACATTGTTCTCTTATTTTGCAGTCTTTTGTGATGATTCCATTTTGTATATATGTAGCTTTTTCAATTTCAGCTAAAATTGTAACAGTCAAAAAAGGCTGTTAATGAAAACATTTTTTATAAGTTCAGAGAATTAATCTGTCTATAAACTATGTCCCCTCAAAATTGCCTTCTATGTTAAGAAAATTTTTAACTAAATCCAGAATTCTAACTTAGTTGTATACAGACTATATTACAATGTAATCTCTTTTTTCATGAAACTATTGATGTTGGTGATCAGTAAAATTCTGTAACATAAATGTTTTAAAGAATCTTCCTATAAGTGAAAGCAGCAGAAGTCTGAGATTAAGTAAGCAATCAATACAGAACTTTGCATTCCACACTTTGTAGCAGAAATCATTATTCATTTTGTTAGTTGCCATATTTTATTAATAAGTGAATGGTAAAGTAGTTGGAAGATGACTGCTTTTCCCATCCCTTTTTATTAAAGGAAAAACGATTACAACAAAGCAGCAAATGTTGCATCTCTTTCTGATTCATTACCTGTAAAGAGTGGGCTGAATTCTTTGAGTGGAGTACCTCCATTAAAGGAGTCTGACAGTAAGTATTTACATAGCTATCTTGGCTGTACTGGACAGAATGTAATGGGAATTGGCACTCCCATGTCCTAAATTTTGTGGTTAGCTTGTGTTATATGATTAGATGTCTAATCCATTTGTCATTCCTATTGTATAAGGAAAGTGAGAGAATGGGATACACATTGCCTGTGATAGCTAATGCATTGCAAAAATACAGAACTGATAGTTGGCAACAAGATTTAATTGTTTAATTGCTGAACTGAAGTAGCTTTCCTCCAAAAGCTAGGTTAAGTATTAAAATGTACCATTTGTCCTTTAGATGTACCCAAAGACATTAAGAGTGGGTTTTGACTTATGCATTAGAATTCCTTCTTCTTTCGCAGTCCCACTACATACTTCCCTTCCAAAATCAATGTCAGAAAACGCTACATTTACTATATAAGTAACTTGGCAGGGCTCTTCTATGAGTGGAGTAGGGATGGATAGTTTAAACTCAATTGCCAAATCAGTCTTAAGCAAGCAGGTACATACCACCAGTCAGAAGAGATATCCCAACTATCCATTCACACATAAACTCCTTTTCATGTGTCTTTGTACACATAAAATGGCCCTTTTCTAGGCCAGATTTTTCAGATTGCATTCTGCAGATCCTTAGGGTTCCATGAGAAGTTGATGGGATTCTCTGAGAAACTTAAGGAGAAAAAAGTTCACTCAAATGCAGCTCTGTCATTAGTGCTTTGCCTTGATTAAAGGTTCCAGGTTCTATAGCCTGAAAACATTTGAAAAGTCCTCTTGTAGGTTTTCCTTTTCTACTACTACAGCTCTCTGCACCCAAACAGTGCAGGTGGTAAAGAGCAAGCAAAGATCACTGTATCCAATTTGGACAATCCCCTTTGTTTAAAAAGTTTCACAAATCCTTTTGGAAATAGATTTTTTACAAATGTAGAGAAAAGGAAAGTAAAAGATAGATTTCTGTACCCAATGCTAGTCATAATAGCAATCTAGCAACCTAAAATAGGATTTAATATTAATGTTTTCAAACTCTTACTTTAACAGGCTTTATGTAAAGTGCAAACACCATTTTAATCTGACTAATTCTATTTTACAGATGCAAATTCAATTTTGAAAGATGTAAAGATGGTGAATTCTAAACTTGGATCTCTTGAACTGGGCAAGTAGCTTATCTGCAGAAGCAACAGTTAAAATTTGTATATGTAGTTGCAGAATGGTTTTTCTAGGAATTAATATGGTTTGCCTTTACAGGTAGTCCTCAACTTACTACTGTAACGGAGCCTGCTCATTAATGATCTTCATAAAATGGGTCATCATGTGACTGAGTTCATTTTATTATCTTTTTTGAAGTGGTTATTAAGCTGTTAAGTGAATGCTGCAGTTGTTAAGCCAAGCCATTATTTTCTATGGGGCATTTTTGCCGAAAACAGGAAGTAAATTCTGTGTTTTGGCAAAAATGTCATAAATTATAGTCATGTGGGATATTGCAAATGGTTGTAAATGCGGGCCAATGCAATCACGTGGCTGCGGGGGGCAGCCATCAGAACTTCAGAATCGGGTCATAAGTACCTTCTGGGAGTCCACTGCAACTTTGAATGGTTGCTAAGCAACTGGTTATAAGTCAAGGATTACCTGTAAGCAGTATACATTGAACATGTGTTATTCTTAAACTTCACTTTTTTCTCAAAAAATACTTGCATTTTATAATAATATATATTAAAATATTAAATTTATATGCTGCCTGACTCTCAGTGACTGGGCAGTTTACAATTGTTAAAAACATTTGAAAACAAAGAACAATACAAACAAAAAAAAGAACAAAGATGGTAGAAAAAAACCCTGCAGAGCAACAAGGAAACGGTGAAAAGGGGTGTCCATCACCCTCACCCAAACCTGGCCAAAGAGCCATGTCTTCAAGCCCCATTAGCTGTTGATGTTGGTGTCAAATATAGTGAAAGGCACAACTTCAGCTCTTCTAATTCTTTATTTAATTGTTTACAAACAGGAGAGGAAGATGAATATATTGATGATTTTAACAGGTAAGAGAAAAATATTAAAATTCTTAGACTATTAATTTTCAGGAAGATGGATATTTATCTAAGTTTGCTAAAAGGTAGAAATATCCAACAGTATCATACAATGTAAAAGCTGGAAGTGTCCTTGAAGAGCATTTAACCCACTTCCCTAGTACAGAAATCACTCTATAGTATTCACATCCAACCTTGGTTGAAACAGCTCCAGTGAAGGATTGTCCTTACCTCCCAAAGCACCGGTGGCCCAGTTTATCTTGTGATCCACTAGACATCCAGACATTTTTTGATGGTCTCTTTCCACTCTACCTGCTGCCTCCAATCCTACACTTAATTTTCTGATGTTTCCTACCCAAATGTAAAACTTTGTTTCTTGAAATTCATCTTTCTGGATTTTGCCTTTGTTCCAACTTATTAAAGTCCTCCTGAATCTTGATCTTAGACCAGTCCTCTTAATATGACTTAATTTTCTCTCATCTTTGAGTCATATGCAGATTTGATCATCATTTTTATAAATGTTACTTTGCCATAGTAGAAAGTGGGAAAGAAGTCCATAGCTTCAAATGAAAATGAATACTCGCATGAGATAGAATCCGAGATAATGTGTTGAGCAGAGCAAAGCAAAAGTGTAACTTCAGTCAAGGAAGGCATTGGAGTAAGATGTGATATATTCAAAAGAGAAGTGTACATATAAGATAGAATCTCATGTTCCTCAGATGTTGGAAGCTCCTTCCTTTGTAAAGGCAACAGAACAATTCCCCAAATGATTCCACCAAATGCATAGCATCATTCGAGGATAGGTCTATATCGAAGACACTTCCCAGCTTATACTCTACAGTAGAGATATTCTGTTTGTAATTTCACATACTTCTAATTAAGCTTACATTGCTTATATTTTCTTGCCTAGTAATTATCAAAAGTGTTATGTGAAACAGAACCTCTTACTTATCTGGTCCTTCCAGGCCTGCCATGACTGAGTACTTCCAAAGAAAAGAGATCACTTGAGCTAAACTGAATGGGGAAAGAGCTAATTAAAAGAAGCAGCTGGGGGGGAAAGCTTCCTTTTAGAAATCTAAGCTCTTATTTGCTTATGCTATGGAGAGGAATACAAAACAGAGATCGGTTTTTTTTTCAGGAAGACCCAGTGCTCACCCAAATCTCTTCATTGTTATAATTATTTTCTGCAGTAGCACTATTCAATTCACTCTAAAGGGGCTTTGCAGTTTAAAAAGTGGTATTGGAAAATTTGTATACGCCATAGGTTTTATACCTAATATTTTAAATGTTTTGCAAAATAAGTTTGTCTGCTTTTATAAATTCTTTGATATCTGGCAGTTCGCCGTCATTAACTGTAAAGTCAATTAACATTGCATCTACTTAAATGTTTAGATGAGTTCTTAGGAGCAAGCTATTTGTAAATCAGTATCAAATTAGATTTGGTGCCAAGTTATGGACTTTATTTAAACTAGTCTATGTATCATTTTATATGCACAATATGCACAATATTCTATGTAGGAATAAATCCTTTATGTTACATTTCATTGCACAGGTACTAAATAATCATTTCAAAAGAAAGAATAGATGGGAATAAATAGTTTCTTCCCCCCCATATTTATTGTAATGTTATAAATCATGATATATTGTACTGTTTCAATGCAAATTTCAGTGTAGTAATATTTATGTAATATGTTTAAATATTATGAATATTTAATTTCCATATTTTAACTTTTTCTTTTGTTAGCACCAGTCATCGGTCAGAGAAAAGTGAAGTCAGCATTGGTGAAGAAATAGATGATATTTCTATGGAATTAGAAGACTTCATTACTAATGAAAAAGTATGATTTACTTTAACACTCTAATTGGGGTTGATGATATATCTAGTATATAGCAAAATAAACCATTACTGGGAAAGGAATTAATATCACAAATTGTAATGTTTATATTAGTCTAGATATTGCTTTTGATCCAGAACTGTTGCCAAAAAAGTATAATTGAGCTGGCTATAGAGTATCAGCATATCTCAATATGAGATACGTTTTAACACAATATTAATAAAGGTTTGAATAGATTGAGGCAATCATGTGATAAAGAAAAGGGAAGGAAGATGTAATTTTCTAGTTGAGAATATTACCCCAAGATAAGCGAACAAGTCCCATACCTGTTTATGCAGAAATTGCACAAATATTGTTACAAATGTATATGGGCTGTTTGCTTCTGTGTGACTTTTCCCACTAGTGCAAGCAGCACTAAATAATCCGAAACTCAAAGATTAATGTGATGCACAGGTCTAGGATCCTAGCTGATTTTACTTCTTTCAGTCCACAATTTATAAGCAAAAAACAAATCCTCATTTATTATTTTAAATGTAATAACTCAGCTGAGAACACCACCATACATTTTTCATCTTTGATTAGTGTAACTGTTGGCATCAATGGAAAGAGCCAGAGAAGGGAACACAATACATGCATTGTTTTTCACAGTGATCTATACAATTGCAGCTTTTAATAAAGCTCACAAGTAACAAAATGAGGGATAGGGGGAAGGGTGATGAGAACAATGTCCATGAGAGTAGCTCATCTGGATACTCTAAATATATTACATGAAAAGTGAGAACTGCTGCTTTAGAAGAGATGGGAAGGTGTGGAATAAACACAAACTTTAATCATACTTCTTCCATTGACAAAGTAGGAAAAGGCTGCACTGAAAAACCCAGATACATCACTGGGTTAAAAAAACCCCTTCAAATAAATGGATTCCACTGCAGACTTTTAGATGATATGGCCATAAGTGACAGTATTTCATTATGTGATTAACTAAGCCTCAGATTCTGGAATATGATATTTGAAGAGGTTGATGGCCAGATATTCAATATATGCAAGGTGCTGATGAATAGCAATAGCGCTTAGACTTATATACCACTCTATAGTGCTTTACAGCACTCTCTGAGCAGTTTACAATGTCATAATATTGCTCCCAACAATCTGGGTCCTCATTTTATCTACCTCGGGAAGATGGAAGGCTGAGTCAAACTTGAGCCGATAAGGATTGAACTCCTGGCTGTGGGCAGAGTTAGCCTGCAATACTGCATTCTAGCCATTGCACCACCACGGCTCCTAATAGGCATGAGCATTTTAGTTTACTTTATTTCTGGCTTCCAAAACAAAATTAAGCCTAATCTGAAACTTTGAATCAAGGTTGGATTATGCCACATTGTGAACGGGAACTTTTCTTCAATAACAGGCATAGGTTTTGTACTGTATGTTTCCTAAAGTCTCTGAATTGAGTTATGCTGATAGTGCTTTTTTAAAAAAAGGAAAGTAATATATTTAACAGTTATAAAATACACTAGCCTGAATTTTAAGATTAGTTGATTTTTCCCCATTTTTTTTTCTTCCTAGCTTGAAGACCTCACACAAGACTTCACTGTTTCTCAGTTAAGCGTTGAAGCAGATTACCTAGAGGATGTTGCATGAATAGAGAGCAGAAATCTTAAATGGTGGGACTGTCGACCTTTGTAGACTGTATTTTAAGACAATCAATCTTCTGAAATATCCCCTCACAAATTGTGCCTTTTATTTCAAGAGAAAAAAATAAAACAACCCAACAAAGCTGGAGAGGGGGAAGATTTTAAGCTCGCAAAGAATGGAGTTTAATACTGCTAACTAGTTCAACTAAGGTAGAAGTTAGGTCCCAGAGAGACGTCTGTTGCAGGCGACAGACACGCCACCATTTGATTTATAAACATTCGTAAGGGAAGAAATTGATAAAGCATATGAAGAATGGCAGATGTGGTTTAATGTTATGGCAACTATCTAGTTTTTTTTAGCTGAAGAAACTAAGAAAATTCAGCAGAGTTGCTATTTTGTTGACTCAGTTATCAGTTTTCAGTATAATTTATCTTTTAGCTACTGAAGTTATTTTAGTTGACAGGGCATAATTGACAAGATTCTCAAAATGGCAATAGAATACCTAACTTGAGGTATATTACATATTAGTTCTGAATTATGAATCCCTCAGGATTTCTAGCAAGTTGACCTTTTTTGCAGCTTTTGAGTGTTTAGTTCTGTGTGGCCAAGATTGCTAAGTACTTCTGAATATTGCCGCTGAAATATGAGCCTTAACTTTAAACCTATTTTTATATATATATTAAAACATTGTTACCATTTTGTTTTAATTTAATGAAAATTATAAATGATTATTAGCATGTTTTTTTTCTTTGAAACACAGGTGAATGCAAAATAAAAATATTTCCAAAAAACACTTTAAAAGTTTTGTGATAAGAATCCTTTATTTAAAATAATCCTGTTTGTGATCCATGTTTTTTACTGGAGGATATGAACCTAGTTTAGCCTGCTTCTAGGCATCTTAATTTATAAAACTAACTTAAGTAGTCTGAACTTCAGTATATTATATATATATATATGTCATGCTTATGATTAAATGCATATGGAAATACAATGTTTACACATAGGCTTTGTATAAGGGTTTTAATCGACACTCAGCAATACATTACGTATGATATAGTCATATTAAACCTTGACCATTTTCTTCAGCATCTTAGTGCATCTTAATAAAAATTGTCAATTTTCTTTCTAAATAAATTTTTGGGAATTAAAATTATCCCAATTAGTATTAGTAAACTGAAATTGGTTGTGATTTGCAGTTTATTTTTAAGATTGCCTTTCACCAATCTGTTGCTTGTTAGGCCATTAATATCTGTAATTCATATGAATTATACCCAAGCAGTTGAGGAAGGTATCAATAGAAAATGCTGCTTTGGTTTCAGTCTGTGTTCTACTTGTTGAATATGTTTAATAACAAAGTGATTCCTTTCCATACAAGCTGTTGTGGTGGAGACATTGTGAAAATCTAAAATTTGGGGCTCCCTCCCTGAATTTTTAATTATTTCTGGTATGGCACTGTACTTCCCATGTGCTCCAGGCAACATGATGGGAATGAAGTGTCACAGAAGTTGTGATCCAAGCTTCCTAGGGAGTACTAAAGTTGTGTTGTACTACATCAATTCATCTGATAAAATGTCCTATTGAGCTTTGTGGGACATATTTTGAGTACTGTACACAACACAGGATTGCATCTCAGAAATGTAGCTTATTTGGGGCTTAAATGAACTGCCTTGGAAAATGATATCCTGTCATATGCAAAGTGGCCTATTTCTTATCTACTGCACTGGCTTAACGGATTGACAAGATGACAAGATTCTGCAAGAGATAAATTCTGATGACTGATTGGATTTTACAACCAAATAACTAAATGTGAAGATATTTTCAGAACGTATAAAAAGGCAATGTGTCCTGGAAGCCCATTCCTCCTGGAGGAAGTAGGAAATCAATTTTCTGACTACAATAATCATTTTCTAATAGCTATTTCTCATTTTAAGAAAAATAACCAACACTTGATAACATATAGTAGACATTTTTCCATACCAATTATTACTTTATTCTTGTCATAACAAAAAGAAATATGCTAAAGGCACCCAGTTTTTGCAACTTGGATAAGTACTAGGTTAGAAAAGACACTGACAACAAATAAGAAACTGAGCTGTCTTATGCATAAGGAATGAATGTAAGTACCACTGGCTGTTTGTTACACATTGTTGGCTAAGATTATGGGGAAATAATTGAATGTTAATATTTTTCTGCTCCAGCAATTTCATTTTGAAGGACAAGATCCTTTTTTGAGATTCTTTGCTAATGTCAGGTTTTAATCTTCATGACACGAATTCAACTATTCCAGGCTATCTTTTTGCAGTTCTCTCAATTAGCAGGAGTTTCTACAAAGATGTCTGCTAATGCTAGAATTGTAAATAAACCGTGATTAATAGATTATGTACCTGGAGGAAGTTTAAATATACAAAAGAGTCATCTACCTTGATTGTTGTATTTTCACTGAACCTCAGATGATTCACTTTAAAAATATAACATTAGGGGGAAATGTGGCCTTTTCAGATAAGCATAGTGATTATCTGAACTACTATGTTTACAAGAGAAAGGAGGGTCACACAGGTGCTCCTTTCCCTGCTGCAACAGCAGCCCAAAAGGGCTCAGGAAACAAGAACCAGCCAAGGCTGTTGCAGGCCCTGTGCTGGTACATAATTTGGCTCACCTCACTTCTGACAGTTTTAGTGGTGACACTAAGCTCAGGGGCCCAAGGAATGCACATGAATGAATATGAGGCTTCTTCAACTACAGCTTTCTAGATGACTCCATAGACATAACCCTGTGGTTTTCTTGTCAACAATATAGAAGTATTTTGGCATTGCCTCCTTTAAGACTGTTTTCAATTTTATAATCTGACCTAGTCATGTGATTTCCTGGTGGTCTCCAATCCTGATCCTGCTTTGGTTTTTTTAAAATTAGCCAAAGTCAGCTAGCACTGATACCTCTTACAATAAAATGTAATTTTGCTGTTTATGTAATAATTTATTACATACGATCAAACCTTATATTCCTACAAACTATGCCTAGCTGGTTTTGTGTAATGGTAATAGATGTCGTGTGACTATATCAAGGAGCATCTCAAAAGAAAGATTTTGTTTGGGCTTTTTAATCCAGTGCGTTTATAAAGACACTGTGAATTTAGGAAAGTCCTGCTACAACTAAAAGTAAACAATTTGCAACGTAGTCCATGGTTATCCCCGCTGCAAACAGAAATGGAGGAACTGAAAAATAATAGTTGGTGATTGTTAAATATCTTGGCAGCCCTCCAGACTGGGACTCAAAATTATTCTTGCGGAATATCGTTGCCAGTACGGTCTTTGTCTTCCACTTTGACCATCCATCAGGTTCGTACTACCATCCGGGCTGGGTCTACTGCACCATCGTTCTCACGGCAGGCTCGATACGGTAGCAGCACACTTGGGAAGACGGATTTTATAACCGAGTTCCCTCCGAGCTTGCATTTCGACAAAAAGCCGCCGCTGAGCGCTCCGGCCCAAAATGGAAAGGCAGCCTTCAAAACCGCCCGCTATATCCCATTACGGTTGTTTCGCCGTTCCGACGGCCTTTACGCCTGAATGCCAGACACAACGCTAGTAATAAACTGCCTCCCCCAAGCTAGCCTCGTCGGGGGCAGTCGTCGCTTTTCCGCTTCCCTTTGGGTTTGGCTAGAAGCAGGGGTAGGCAACCTTGGCTCTTTTATGACTCGTGGACTTCAACTCCCAGAATTCCTGAGCCAGCCATGGCTGGCTCAGGAATTCTGGGAGTTGAAGTCCACGAGTCATAAAAGAGCCAAGGTTGCCTACCCCTGGGCTAGAGAAAAGCAGTATTCCAATATCTGAGGGGCTGCCACAAAGAGGAGAGGGTCAGTTTATTTTCCAAAGCACCAGAGGGCAAGACAAGAAACAATGGATGGAAACTGATCAAGGAGAGAAGCAACCTGGAATTAAGGAGAAACTTCCTAACAGCGAGGACAATTAACCAGTGGAACAGCTTGCCGTCAGACATTGTGGGTGCTTCATCCCTGGAGGTTTTTAAAAAGAGATTGGACGACCCCTTGTCTGGAATGGTATCTCCTGCTTGAGCAAGGGGCTGGACTAGAAGACCTTCAGGATCCCTTCCAGCTCTATTCTGATTCTGATTTCAGCGCGTTGACATTCCCGCCCTCATTGGACTCAGAACCAAAACTCCTGCTCTCGGGCCTTCCTCAATTGTGGGCGCAAGACGGGGAGAAGCCCCGCCCCCGTCCTTCAGTTTCCCGCTCTATTCCTCCTGCCTCCGCTTTGAAACTGCGGCGCGGCTTAAGTTCGATGCTCTCCTGCCCCCCCCCCCCGAGCGAGCGTTCTAACGGAGGGGTCGACGTAATACGTCACAAAGCTTGCTTTCACTTTCCTTTGGGGAGCTGGAGCGTGGCCTTTTTCGGGATCAAAAAGCTCCGCTAGGAGATTTGGAGGCTGGGCGAGGGGAAAGGAGTGTAAATGTGGGCGGTGGGAGACCTGGGCTTCGCAGGGAAGGCGCTTGTAGGGCTGCGTCCCACAATAACGGGGCGACTTACTGTTATCTAGGTTAACTATTGGGAAAAGGAGGAATACGGAATAGCTCAAGAGAAGGAGAATAACAGTGGCTTAGGTCATAGGTATAACAAAACGAAAGAGGTATTAACGATAGGCACACGATATAGGAGGGACTGAATTGGATTTTGTATAATACTGCCTCGCTGGATTAATTCTCTTCTTCTGCTGAAGCCCATTTATTGAGAAACTCAATTTTGAAATGATTTGCCACAGATTGTTTGGCATTGTTTAAACATCTGTTATTTAAGAAATCCTGTCGTTAATTAACACTTAATATGGCTATGGAGTCATCCAGGTCATGGTTGTCCCAAAGGTGTTTTTTTCAAAAGGCATCTAGACTTTGCTTTTCCTTTGAAGATGTTTCGCTTTTCGTCCATGGTCAGAACTGAAGAAGCCTCTTGGATGAGACGTGAAACATCTTCAAAGGAAAAACAAAGGAAGTCCAGTTGACTTTTGAAAAAGTGCCTTTGGATTGTTAACACTTGTTAAAGATTATTGGATGTTCCTATACTTTTGTTTAAAAAACTGAAAAAACTAAAGATACTTTTAGAGCACCTACAAAACGCATTCATTGGGTAAATTAAGGTCTCTTACCTTGAATAGGAGGTTGAGTTAGAAGACCTGCAAGGTCTTTTCTAACCCTATTATTCTATGTTCTAAATCAGAGAATGTGACTGATGTTATTGTTGGGCTGCAGTTGGAATCTTCAAAAACATGTTCTACAATTGCTCATATTTGATGTAATGGTCATAGGACTGCCAATTTGCTTTTTAGTAATAATGATTGCTTGCAGGCTTGTATAGGAACATACCTGAGATGATGGATATTGTATGTGTGGGTGAGGAATATGGGTAGACAAAAGAACTTGAATATCACCTTGGAAAGACTAAGCTGTGCAGGACATAAAACAGTGGACAATATAAGCATCACAATTTGTAGACAGGCATCCTACTTTCAACCTGACCGTACTCTTTATTTTTCATGAATCACTTGGAACAGGAGGGAATAGAAGATAACAGGCGTTGGGGGTTGTTTAAAATTGGACCATAGATTCAATGTAGCTTATGTTCAGATAGTTGCCTATTTTGGTTTTAACTAAATAGTAAACTGTTAAAAGACAAGCAAGGTGTGAAGGTAGCAACTCTGTACTTCTTCACATTAACTGCATTTTTGTGCAGCAGCTGTAT